ACCCTCCACCACCACTGATCCTAAATTAATTATATAACAATATTCTTTTTTTTTTAAAGTTGCGTTAAAAAATCACGGGTTTAATATGGTTCCTAACAAGCAACCATATTAAAAACAATATGGTTGCTTGTTAGGAAAACCTGACAAGCAACTTCGTTTCTTTACATCTATGTATTTAGTCGCTGTTTTTTCCAATATAGGCCTATTGTTGACACTGCCAATCAGTGCAACAATAACAGTGCTGTAGCGTGATTCCTCATCGTCAGCTCATTTATTGATAATTAATAATATTGATTATAATAACATTGGGCTTGTTTTTGAAGTTGTGGTTGCTTATTTATCTTGCGGGAGTTGGCAACACTGATGGCAGGCTTTACACTGCTGCTTGCTCAGTTTAAGTAAAACGAGTCAATGCAGTGCAATTCTAAGTCATTTTAGCAACTTGATTTCATTCATTGCGTTCAATGCTCCTAAACTCGGAAATTTGGAAGTTTTTCCCATTTGTTTTGGGACTGCTCAAATAACACACACACACACACACACACACACACACACACACACTTCGTGTATTATGTGCAAGACTTTATGAATTTAGTTCTTTGACATTTGATGCACAAGACATGGTCGAGTAGTAACAATGGTAAACGTTCCAGTGAATATATGCAACGCAGACAACAGAAATAAATTATTTTAGTCTTAAAATGACTTTTAATCCATGTATGTTAGCTTCCAGGTCATTTATACTCATGCACTTCTATAGGTTGACTCGGTGTCCATGTTTGCCAACAGCAGCTGCATCAACATTCAGCTTAACTCAAAGAAGGTGATAAAGGTTTTGAGCGACATAAATGTGAGCATATTAAGTTTATTTTTCACAAGTCCTTTAAAAAGACACTAGCTGTGCCTGTGCGAAATGCTTTGCCCCATTCATGACTTTGAAGGTCAAAAGGTGAAGTATGGAACAGTATGGGAAAAATATGAATGGTCGTTTGGTGCCCTCTAGCGGACATTATTAGCTACTACAACACACTGTGACCCATCATGGCGGTGTCCTCTTGTCTCATATCCAGGCTGACACTGGGGTGAGATTTTAAAACGTTGCATTTGTCTTAACGGCCATACATGTTTTTAATGTATTTGAAGTCATTATAACATTTTATAGCAGGACACTTTTGTCATGCAAGTCAAAAAGCTAAAGTTGTCTTTCAGTGCATAGGTCATGTGGACTGAATGCAAGCTAACCACAATATTGTTTTCAGTATTTATACTGTGTATCAAACAGAATACATAAAATGTATTTAGCTTGTTTAAGGAATTAGACTAAATGTTGCATTGTAACAATATTTGGAGCATATGTCATTTGAAGTAATATTTTTGAAAGGTGTAGAAGTTTTTGTGCATATCAGAGCTTTATTGATCAGATGGTCAGATAACACTGGTTTCCTGTGTTTCAGGAGGCGGCAGTGGCATGGGCAGGGCCGTGTGTCAGAGATTCGCCTCTGAAGGAGCTTCTGTAGTAATGGCTGACCGCAATGAGGAATCAGCCAATCAGACCCTGGAACTGCTGTCACGTGACCACAAAGGTCAGGGGCACCTGGCCCTGGGGGTGGACGTGTCATCAAAGGACAGTGTGGCGAGACTAGTGACAAGTATACAGGTGTCTGTGCCGTTCCTGGGCTAGTGGGCTCTTCTGGAGCTCGAGGGGTCAGTGATAAAACAGGAAGTTCATGTGTTTGTCTTGTTTTCTTCCAGCCGCCCGTCTGTGTGTGTGAATGCAGCCGGGATCACTCAAGATGCATTCCTTCCCAAGATGGAAGAAGATGAATTTGACAAAGTCATTGAAGTCAATCTCAAGGTACCGCAGTCCAGAGTCTAACTCTAGTGTTTAGTTCTGTCAGGACCACTATCGACAAAGATGATTGACAATTAGCATACAGTTTGGATTGGTGGTATGGTTCTGTTCTGGGCAAGAACTCCATGCGCATCCATGCAGCCTAGCATGGATGAGAGCAGGGAGAGCAGCGATAACCCCCCCAGGGTAAACAGAACAGAACCAACATAAATGTATTGCAGATATCGTTAAAGTTCAATAATGTTATGTACACATTTTAGAATTAGTCTGATTCAAAGGAGAATCAGAAGACTGAATCCTGACTGACAGAGGAGGAGCTGGGGATGGAGGAGGGTAATTAGCTATTGAGCAATGCGAAAACTGCTGATACTACAGCGGACCTTATATATGAATGCTTAGATAGGTGTCGTATTCCCATAGGTTGATGGGGATCAGCTGAGAGTCAGCTGATGCGAGCTTGACTAACGTGACCTGCCAGAATTAACACTACGCTTGATTTCTTTTCAACTTTGACTTCAATGTCATTTTAAGTGTGTAAGTGTATTTGTGTGAACAGGGTCCATGCATTTCTGGAACAGTGGGGCTTGATTAACTATCAGGTGGATTCAGAGAGTCGGCCCACTCCAATGGGGCCTCCACCCACCTCACACTTTCATGTGCTGGCAGATACTCCATCAAGTCTGGTACCACTACAGCCTAAGGCATCCCAGGTAAAATAAAGCAGTCTTTTCCTGCTATAGGTGTGATCCACACAGATTTTCAAACTCAACACCTTTAAAGGGAGCTGAAGGCATTAACATATTAACTAGGAAAAAAGTTAAATAAAATATTTTATTTGATTGACAGCCCTAAAAAAAAATTCTGTGTGAGTTTTTGTCTTCACTTTAGATTATCTAAGCTGTTTTTTGTTGTTGTTCCCACCAGACTTCATCCTCTCAGCAGATGCTCTCATTCCCAGACAAAGTCAAGGACAAACCAGCCGACTTGCAGAACTTTGGGTTGAGGACAGATGTGTACAGTAAGAAGAGCGGCCCAGCTAAAGTAAGAGCGCCCATCACAAATGGGGTAGAGAGAAAATTAGAATGTGTCAGGTTGAAAGGAATTTTGGAATATGAAGTATGAAGATGATTCTGAGTGCTATGAGAAAGATTTAGGACCTTCTTCTGTCATTCCACAGACTAAAAATGCTGCCAGTGCCACTCGGGAATGGACAGACCAGGAGACACTGCTACTGCTGGAGGTACAATGTAAACATATAAAATGTCCAAGACTCTCTGAGTCCACTAGTCAAAATGCTTGAGTTTAGCATTTTTTTCAATTTGATACGATTTTTAAACATGATTTACACTACCGTTCAAAAGTTGGGGTTCGGTAAGATTTGTAATATTTTTGAAAGAGGTATTTTATGCTCACCAAGGCTGCATTCATTTGATTAAAATACAATAAAACCATAATATTATGAAATATCATTACAATTTAAAATAATGTTTCTATGTTAATATATTTTAAAACGTAATTTATTCCTGTGATGGCAAAGCTGAATTTCAGCAGCCATTACTCCAGTTTTCTGTCACATGATTCTTCAGAAATCATTTTAATAAGCTGATTTGGTGCTCAAGAAACATTTACAAACAAGTAACAAACAAGTATTATCAAAGTTTTCAACGGCTGTGTTGATTAATATTTTTGGAAACTGTGGTACATTTTTTCAGGATTCTTTGATGAATAGAAAGTTTTTAATGAGAATTCTTAGAATTTTTTGTAAAAGTCTTAAATGTCACTTTTGATCCTTTTAGTCCTTCAAAAGTATTAATTAAAAAAAAGTCTTACTGACCCCAAACTTTTGAACAATAGTGTAAACTTGACTTTTTCCACTTAACAATTCCTGTTTGTTTTCAGGGTCTAGAGATGTGTAAAGATGACTGGAATAAAGTATCGGAACACGTGGGCAGCCGCACACAGGATGAGTGCATCCTCCACTTCCTGCGTCTACCGATCGAAGACCCCTACCTGGAGGATAGCTCCTCCTCCCTAGGCCCGCTGGCCTATCAGCCAGTTCCTTTCAGTCAGGCGGGGAATCCTGTCATGAGCACTGTGGCGTTTCTAGCCTCTGTGGTCGACCCTCGAGTGGCTTCTGCTGCAGCTAAATCAGCACTTGGTGAGAAGATACAATATTAAAGTGATAGTTCACACATAAATAAAAACCATAATTTAATTAGACTTGAAATGGCTGTATCTGAATGATTTCTTTTTGTCTTTTTTTCTGTATGCAACAATAGTGAATAAGAATCGGGTGCTGTCAAGCCCCAAAAAAGACTTGTTTTGTATTTTTTTACATGAGCACAATGTTTCTCTTTCTTTTTCTCAGAGGAGTTCTCTCGAATGAAGGAGGAGGTACCAGCTGCATTGGTGGAGGCTCATGTGCGTCGAGTGGAGGAGGCGGCCAGAGCAAGCGGGAGGCCAGACCCTCTCTACGGCCTGGAGGGCAGCGGCATCGCAGGAACCGGCCTCGAGGATTCTGACAAACCCTGTAAGAGAACAAACATTTTCACTTGTTTTATGCTTTTTGGAGCATAGTGAGAGACAAAATAACTGTGTATGTTTGTTTTTCAGCTGAGGATGGAAGTGAGGAGAATAAGAGCAGTGATGGTCAATCTAGCCAAGATAAAAGAGAAAATAAGGTAACTGTTACTACAGCGGACCTTATATATGAATGCTTAGATAGGTGTCGTATTCCCATAGGTTGATGGGGATCAGCTGAGAGTCAGCTGATGCGAGCTTGACTAACGTGACCTGCCAGAACTAACGCTATGCTTCATTTATGAACATGTCATCATATACAGTCATGAGATATGCGCCATCTAGAGTTTCATGACTGAACTATTCAGTATATTTATACAATTAAAGTGTGAATAATTTATACTGAACCCACTTTTAAAAACAATCAAGTTGACACAGGAGAAAATGTGTTGATGTGTGGTTTAATGGGAACTTTTGGACAAGTCAAGGAATGAAAACAGTCGACATTTCAAAACCCAGACTAATAGAGCAGAAACAAAATGCATCATTTAGACGAAGGGTTTGAAGGAAAGTGGGCAGATTACATATGGTGGTTTCACCAAGACACACGCTGTTCAGGTGTTTAAAGGTGTAAATGGGAGTTTGGCTCAGAAGAGTGCAGATGCAGATCAAATATTAGCAAAAGCATCATGTGACCATGACAGCAGGGAAAAGAACAACAAATGAGTCCAACAGCTCTTTAAATAGATGATATATTACACAAACAGATTTCCAAGTACTTACATAAAACAAGTTTTAGCACCATATTTTATAAAGACAGATGTTCGTCTTTCACTGACAAAAACTGTCCTAGCGGTATTGTCCTTGTGAGAAAACCACACAAACAACTTTTAATTCACAAATACTTTTTTATAGCTTTTCATTCCCCTCACCATGTTAAAAAAAAAGAAAAGAAACAAAAAATATACATAAAAAAAAGAAACCACCATCATTTTTCTTCCCTCTCCTTCCTCTTCCTGTCCCTTCTCCACTGCTGTCTGAATCCGGAGACATTTTTGTGTTTGTGTCTCCACCTGCACCAAACTCTCCTCAACCTCAAGCTGCAATGGAAATACACTAATAATGCAACATGATCTAATATCACCAAGTAAGTATATATTTATCATACAGAGAAGGCAGATTTGCTTTCTGGGGTTTGATTTACATATTTAATAGATTGATGAAAAGCTACAGGAAATAATTACAGTTGAATACCACATTATTTTGTACTGCAAGTGTTGGTCATTTTCTTGTGAGCACCTGTTTGTTTCACAAAATAAATACAATAAAATATTTCTGTACAAATGGTTCTTATGCACAATTCCAGCCTGAACACTGTCTGCACGAAAGGTCAAAGGTCACAAACCCGTGGGTTTGTCAATACTCAATGCTGTGGGCCAAAATAGCAAAAGTGTTGAAAGCGTGCATATTATCAGAGAAGTTTTTTTTTTTTTTTGAAAGACCTCTGTAATGAAATAATAACCAGCTTATTATACTTTCACTAAAAATACTGAACTGGTAAATCGGCAGCATGTTCACGGCATGTCTAAAAAAATTTTTAATTCTTACAGATTTGATCATTCTATAATAAATGTACAACATTATCAAATTCAATACACTTTTACACTATAAATGGCTTTTCATTGCATACGCTGATGACAGTTGCTGGTGTGATTTGAAATCATTCTAATGGAATTTTCCGTTCCTCAGTTTAAATGTCGCACCTGCAGATCATTCTACTCTATAAGGAAAGGAAGGAAGTGAGGAGGGGGCGGTGATCAGGCATGGAGGTAGGAAGAGTGGAACGTCTCGGAAGAGAAACAGTGGGGAGGGGAGCTGTAGGAGAGAGAGGGGGCCGAAACGGGAGGGTCTTCCGCTTTAGGCCAGCAGTATCTGCTCCAACACAGAATATCTTCTTTTCTCTCCTGCGAGAACGGCTTTCTTCTCCTCCGTTGCTGGGAGTGTTTTTCCCTGGGTGTGTACTTTGTGTGCAACTTTGTTTCACAACAATGTGTGTGTGTGTGTGTGTGCATGTGTGTGAGTCTATGTGTCCCACTGATTACACGTAATTTCAAATGTCTTTTTTTAGTGTTGGCACATCTCTATGTGGTGGTATTTATGTCTAGGTTTTAAGTGCATGATTAAGGAGTATGTGTGTGAATGTGTGTGTTCTCGTTTGTATTGGTGACTGTATTCTCCTTGCCCTCAGCACGGGTGTGTTTATCCCAGGAAACAGACAGGTCCCACTTCAAAACCAAATTTCTGATTGTCCTCCCCAAAGTCTGAGATCCTGATGTCCAGCAGAGGGAGCTGCTCCACCTGAGGCGTGTTCACCTCCAGCACCGTCCTGTCCAAGCCTTTACGATACTGCAGAGGGAAAAGGTGGAAAAAAATATTTAGGAATATACCTCAACCATTGTATTATGTTAAAAGTCTGGGTATGATTATGTTAATTGTATTCAATAAAAGTCACCAAAAATCACACTATTTTGAAAAAAACATATAATATTTGAAAGAAAAAAAAAAAAAAAATA